AGGCGGGAAGTGCACCCCCGAGGGGGAGTGCTGGGGCGCAGCTCTTGGGGAGGCACCACCACAGCCCACCCCAGCATCCAGTCCTGTCCCCGTCCTGTGCGCCACCACCTTTACAGCTCGCTCTTCCTTCTCCATCGCCTGTCATCTGGGTGGGAAGGGGAGGTGGCCTTCGGGTGGCCCCAGCTCCCTAGATGAGCACCCGTGTGGCCACCGCTGGGCCCGCCGTGGCCTCACTCAGGACGGAGCCCTCGACCCCGACATCTGGGGCCCTACCCTACCCGGTGCCCATGGGAAGCCAGCCAACAGCCGTGCGTGAACACCGTCAGTCTTCGGGTTTTATCCTAAGACCCTCACCAGACAGGTGCAAGTGATCTGCCCTCTCCTGCCGTCAGGGAACTGCCAGCAGGCAGACGCCTCCGGTGTACAGGGGAGCACCCCCACCCCGAAGACAGATGGGAACTCAGACTTCCCAGTGGCCTTTGTGTGGACACCTCAGCCCCTGGCTCCGCGAGGGGCAGGGGTCCTGGGCTGATGGAGGGGGTGCGACTTCACAGAGTCTCCTGCTGAAACGCAATGTGGGCAGCTTGAGGGTTTGCAGAAACTTGTTTTTCAGACAAGAATTATGTGTGTTCCCTTTCTCATTAAAACCTCAAACACATAGTTTACAGTCCCTAAAATGGGAAAATGGCTGAAAAAGCCATTCTGTCTCTCTCAGACTTAGCACTGAGGGCCTGGAAGGGACGGCGCTGGAGCCAACATGAAGGAACGTTGCTTTCCCCAAATCCTGGAACTGTTTTTATCACCCTTCATGTTTTCCTCACCCTTCATGTTTTCCTCATGTTTTTCTTCTTTAAAAGTGTCTCTTCTTAAGGGAACCAGCTGTAGAATGTTCAGGGGTCAGGGCTGGCCAGCTGCCGGCAACCAAACTGAGCGGCCCTCTGGACACTTGGCCACAATTCGCCAACGAGCTGTGACCGCAAGGGTGAGTGTGGCCGAGCTTCCTGCCAGAGGCAGCACTGGGCTCTCCGTCCCCTGCTTTATGGGGTGCGATGTTCCAGACGCCGTTTCCAGGGTTTACGGCCAGATTTTATGACACACAGTTTTTTTCCAGCTTCAGTGCAAACAAAAATAAAACTCTGTCCCGGGCTTGCAGGAGAAGGGAGGCCTCGGGACCCTCCCCGCCCGTGCAGACGGCACAGGTAGAGCTGCTCCCCCCCCACCCCCGCGCCCAGCAGGTCATAAACCCACAGGAGGAGCCCAGTCCCTCCGCGGGCGGTGCGGGCCCTGGGAAAGTAGAGCCGTACTTTGGAGGAATTCCACGGCGCCTGCGTGTGTGGAGGGCACGGGCCACTCTGGGCTCACACCTGCCAACCACCCGGCCGTCCGGCTGCCCCCAGGCTGCGCGGGCTTCCTGGCGCTGTCGGGTGGGGGCTTCTGCTGAGCAGGTCTTAGCGCTTCACAGGCGTGAGCCAACAAGAATTCGCAGCAGCTGCCCCACGGAGATTACCAATTTGGGCCATAGCCTTCTCCTCAAAACCCTCATACACAACCTCAGCGGTCTTCTGTCTGGGTTCCCGCTGCCGCAGGCGTGACCTGGGGGTGGCGTCAGATGCCCTGCAAGCCCGGTGTCCTCCCCACCCCTCATCCCAGGTGCCAGCCTGCAGAGGACACGGTGAGCCGGCCCCGGGTGGATGGAGCATCGCTGCCCAAAGGTGGGGCTGGTGGCTGGAGAGCCTGCAGGCTGGGCCTCTGCCAGGCCGCGGGGATGGCTCAGCTTCTCCCGGACCCGGACGGACCGGTTATTTCTGCTGGAAAGCCCTGAGGCTAAGCCGAGCGCGCGCTCACTGCCGCTGCCTGCACCTCGGCCTTAGCACCCCTCCACGGGAAGGAATGGATGCAGGAGGCAGCTTCTCCCTGAGTCAGTGAAGAGTTTGGCTTCCCTCCCCAGGCTCCAAGCAAGCACGGCGAGCTGTTTATTTTTCTTCATAGACGTGTCCTACCAGTAGCCGGGCCTGCCCGTCCTTGAGCAGTCCTCACCGGATGCAGGAGGACTGCACAGCTCCCAAGAAGCAGATGTGACCCACTAGTGCAGTGACTTCTGAAGGAGTGACTGCTCCGAAGGCCAAAGGGAAGCACGTCCTCTCCCCGCGTGCTTGCTCGTTCTCCTCATGTCTGCATCCTGTCACTGAGCGGCCCCGACAGAGCTGCACCAAGTGGCTTTTCAGAAGGGACCCAGCCCAAGACACCTCTCTGCAGAGCTGACACCAAGACCTTTGTGCTTCTCGGCCAGTCGTGGACCATCTGCGCTGGAGGGCAAAGGACACGGGGCTGCCTGTCTCGGGGACCCCGTGGGACAGTGAACGGGAAGTCCGCATCATGGGACATGCGCTGCACTCCTCCGTCAGCAGCGGCCACCACGTGTCCCATCCACCGAGTGTCTCGGCCACACGTCGGTCCCGGGTTTGCACGGCTGGGGGACTCGGTGTGGCAGAAACCTCAGGAGAGAGCAAATGGCCCAGACGCCACGTGGCAGGGGCGCCCTTCACACTCACAGGTGGGAACAGGTGTCAGTGGCCAAGAGCCCCTGGGGCAAAGATGGGGAGACCCCCCCCCCATCTGCAGAAATCCACTCAGAACACAGGGAGACACATAGCCCTGTAAGCGAGATGGCGTGGGTGCGGGACAGCGGAGACACAGTCACTCACCTATTTTCTAGTTCTGCCCACGGAGGGGCCCAGAGAGAGCGGCCCTCACGCCCAGGCTGGGTTCCTACTCCCAGCCTCCCCTCAGAGGGACCAGGGCTCCCCGGGGAAAGCGGCGCACCGAGGGGCGGCAGCGGCAAGGGTTTCAGATGACCCCCGAACATCTTGAGGGCCAGAAAGCAGGGAGAGTCTCTGAAAGTGCTGTGGACACATCAGAATGAGTGGCCGTGAAGAATTAGAGCCCACGTGCCCACACCAGGGCTGATGAACAGGCTGGAGGGACACGACCTTGTGGTAGAAAGCCAGCTAATAAATGCAGAAGGAACAGTGGACCCAGAAGTCACCATTCAGAGGCCAAGGGAGCCATGGATTCTGGCAAGAACCATCCCAGGCTGCTGGAACGCAAGAGGCCGGTCCTGTCAGCCTCAAGGGGCGGGGCAGGGCAGGGCCTGGCCGACACCCCTCAACCAAGAAGTCCAGGTGGACGCCAGCACACCAAGGCACACGGCCACCCCGGGCCCCCCGGGACGTGCCCGTCACCCCTGCAGGCCTCCCCAGACCCACCCTGAGGAACATTGTGCAAATGCGCTTGTCCGTTTCCTAAAGCTCAGATGGGAGGCTGGCGAGGCGTGGGGGCTGCGGGCAACATGGCCTGGGGTCACCCTTCGTTGAACACACCCGGTCAGGCCCGTGGGGCACAACAGCCCACGTCCCTGCTTGTGATCACTGTGCCACGAGCGCACTGGCCCTTCACACTCAAGTGCCGAGGGACCTAGCAGCTCGCTTCTCTCTGCTCTGTGGTGGGAAGACCAAGGAGCACGGGCATGGAGCGTGGCATTCAGGGATTTTCTTTCCTGTTCTAACTTTCCTCTTGAGTCAGAAATGGTGTCCAAATGGAAAGTTAGCAAGAAAACTCGAACCGGATGGGACAGTAGCTGGCCCTTCCCCCGCGGCTGTCCTACCTGGAGCCACGTCCAGCCCTGAGTGTGAGTGGGGGGAGGGGCGTAAGTCCGCCAAGGGCTGCCGTTTGCAGGACTTCCTCTTGCCGCCTCTCCCCGACCCCGCCACCCTGCGCGTCCAGGCAGGAGGCTCCGTGCTCTTCAGGGCACCACGGGGCCGGCGCACCTGGGCCAGCAGCACAGGCACCTCCTTGTGTCCGGGGGCAGGAGAGACTGGGGGGCGGGGAGGTGGGGTGGGCGCAGGACTCCAGGGGCAGCGGCAGGAGCTAAACCATCTGTGACAAGTAAAGGTCGTTTCGTATCAGAAGTGTGTTTGAGTTTCAAAGCTGGAGCCAGGCCAACCCAACAACTATTGCCCATTTGTTCCTTCGGCCCCGGCGTTCCCCTCGGATGATGTGTGCGTGGAGAGCTCAAGTCCCCAGGAGGGAGAATGGCGGCGCACGAGGCTTCAGACCCCGTGGCGGCGAGAAAAGGAGCAAGGCCATTCACCTGGGCTGGGGTCCCCCCACACCTGCTTTCGAACGCCCAGGGTCCCTGACCTTGGTGCGAGTGGGGGTGGGGTGGCGGATGTGCTGGGCCGCACACCGTTCCCGGAATCGGAGCGCTCTGGGTGCCATTCTTATCTGTGGAGCACCCCTGCCCTTCACTGATGGCTGCACGTCCTCACCCGGGCGTCCCCTCTGGCTAGGAGTGCACCCCCCCCCCAGCCTTCTGCGTGGCCGGCTCCCAGCCTCGGCTGCTGCCAGGGGTCTGGGGGAAGACTGGGCCGCTGCGGTCAGAGGCACAGGGCCCGTCAGCTGGGCCCTAGGGCGGCCAACACCACGGCTGAGTCAACACGCAGGCCCCCGGGATGAGCCGCCCCCACCCCCCTCACACATGCTTGCAGGCTGTTCTCAGGAACACACACAAGGCCGGAACCCCCAGCTTCCACCAGCCTCCGAGCGGAAATCTCCGCATGTGACTGCATGTGAGCACTGGCCTGAAACCTGGGTTCCCTTAGTGCCCATCCCTTTGCCCCTGGGTCCCTAGGACCCTCGGGATATCCCGAGAGGTCAGCATCAGAATTACAGGAGATCAGGCAGGGAGAAGGCACACCCCAAGAAGGCTGAGATGCTCGGTTCCATCATCCTCCCCCCACCAACGCCAGTCTGGCATCTTGGCCACAGGCATTTGAGCTGCCGGAGAAGGGTCCACGGGACTGGCGTCCCCTGAGCCTTTCCCGGCCAGGATGCTCTCCTGGGACAGCCAGTGGGCACAGGGTGGGCAGGGCCAGGGTGGCAGAGGTCCCCTGTGGGGTGGAGCTCCAGGCTCAGCTCACGGACCTCCTTCTGTTCCCCAGACGCAGCCAGTGCCCAACCCTGTGGCCTACTTCCTGCACCAGTCCCCATGGTGGGTCCACCGCTTTGAGACGCTCAGCAACCACTTCTTGGAGCTCGTGGTGCCCTTCTTCATCTTCCTTGGACGGCGGATGTGCATCCTCCATGGGGCCTTACAGATCCTGTTCCAGGTGAGCCCACACCTGAGAGTCACCCCCGTAACTGTGTCCCCGAGATCAGTCTCTCTGCTGGGGGGACGAGGCAGATGGCCCAGGACCTGCTCCTCCCTCGTGTCTAGAGGATGCGCCTGGGAAGTCCTCTGCGGTGGGTTCTAGGAGTTTCCTCTCATGGTTACGGTAACCCCTCTCACAGGTTAGCTGTCCAGCCGTCGTAAGGCAGTCTCTGAGGAAGAGGCTGGCGGGGTTTTATTTCCAAGTGGACAACTGTGCTGAGCCCTTAGCCCCGGGGTGCCCCAGCCCGCCACTCTGCCCCATTCCTGCACCACAAGCCCCCCAGCCTCCATCCCCGTAGAACAGGCCCGCTCCCCAGTGAGCGGAGGCTCCACCACTGACTTCCTCTGGGGCCTTGACAGTCTCCAGCCTCTCCTTTCCCTAAACTGGGGCATCTACTTGCTGACCTCCAAGAAAAACACTGTTGGGACTTTAAATTCCTTTTTTTTTTTTAATTTAAAGTCACTTAGCCAGCATATAGTACATCATTAGTTTCTGATGTAGTGTTCAGTGATTCACTAGTTGCTGGGACTTTGTCCTCTGTCGTAGCTGCTGTATTTGTGGGGGGACAGTTAGCGAAGTGCACGGACCGGGAGCGTTGTGGGGCGCACTGTGCCCGCTCCGCTTGGCCAAGGTGTTGGGGGTTGTCGGGCCGCGCCCCCTCGGTTCCCGTGTCCCACGTACAAACAGCCTGTTCTGTCAGTGGCCGCTCCGGGGTTTTCCAGGTTCTCGCCGTTACAAGTAAACCTGCTATGGGCGCGTGTGTGAGGGGAGGCCCGTGAGCAGGCGGGCGTGACCTTGAACGGCACCATCTCCTCTCCCTCCAGCCCGGGAGCCCCACTTGCTTCGCCTCCTCACTGGCTGTGCGGGTGGGTGTCTGCCTTTGTCGTGCGGGCCGTCGCGGTGGCTGAGGGCCTGACGGTGGGCAGTGGTGCGCAGGATCCAGCGGGACGCGAGCAAAACTGATCCCCGCGGGTTGGGGCAGGAGGTTTCGTCCACACTGGGGTGTGTTCGCACAGCCTCCTTGTCTTTGTTGATACTGTAAATGGAATTTTCACATAAGACATCTTCCTCTGTGCTTCCTGAGTGTGCAAACGGCACGAATGTCCCCGCAGTCGTCAGGTGTGATGGCCTCTGGGCTGATCAGTGCCCATCGTCACCTGGCTGCTCACCCCGCGGCAGTTCCTGGGGCAGCGGCAGCAGCGCTCAGCTAGTGGGGCTTGCTGTGTCGCCGCCGGCGGTCCGGGCCCTGTCCCCACGGCTCCTGCCGTGTTCTCAACTCCCACAGCCTAGGGGAGGCCGGTGGAGGGTGCGTCGTGCGGCGTCTGTTTCTAGTTTACTTCAGGTACTTTCAGTCACGAGTGGATTTCCGCACCCGCTGTGAGAAGATCACTTTCTGCGCCCATAAGTCGCTGACGTGGTGCGACAAGGCTCCCCTCCCAGGAGAAACTCCGCTTGGTCACACTGTGCATGCGATCCGTCCCTGGGGATGACATGCCGGTGTGGGTGTGCACAATGCATGGCTGCCGGTGTGTGATGTCCGTTGGTGGCAGTGGTCCGCCCGGTTCTGCTCACGGTGCTTCTCCCGGGGCGCAGCGTGCAGGGCAGAGGCAGGGCTGCTGCGAGACGCGGACTCGGCCCCGAGGGGGCTGTTGGTCAGGCCAGGCTTGCATGTTGTTTTCCCGGGTACTGGGCCTGTATCGCAGCAGACCCGATGGGAACCGACGTGAGCTCTTAACTAGCAGGTGCACACATCTCAACGGGCAGTTTGGGACTTATTTTCACATCTTTGTGTTTCCTTTTATTCCTTTCAGCTGTTCTCGCTGTCCCACTTTAGATTTTATTTACTTGACAGAGACACAGCGAGAGAGGGAACACAAGCAGGGGGAGTGAGAGAGGGAGAAGCAGGCTTCCTGCTGAGCAGGGAGCCCGATGCGGGGCTCGATCCCAGGACCCTGGGACCATAACCTGAGCCGAAGGCAGACGCTTAACGACTCAGCCACCCAGGCGCCCCTGTCCCACTTTTTCTAATTCATCAGTTACACAGTTTCTTGCAGGTGAAGGCATGCTCCATGCACAGACTCCAAGTCCAAATTCCACCCCTGTCTGGCTGCCTCAGCCGCCTTAAGGCTCTGCTCTGGCCGGGTCCTGCCATCTACTCTTGCCACTCCAGTACTTTAGCTGTTGTTTCATTAATACTCTCTTAGATTTACAGAAAGAGCACAGGGTGTAGACGGTCCCCACGTTGGTGTGTCATGTGACACACTAGTTACAACCTTCAAGCCCAGACGGACACCTGCTCATCAGTGGAAGTACAGAGTTTACTTCAGGGTCACCTGGTGGGCGTTGTGCATCCTCTGGGCTTGGACAAATGTATAGTGACAGGTGTCCGTCGAGGTGTCAGAGTCCCTTCTGCCCTGACAACCCTCTGTGCTCCCGGACTCATCCGCCCCTCTCCTCAAGCCCGGGGCAGCCACTGACCCTTTGCCGTCTCTGTAGCTCGGCCTTCTCCAGAATGTCACGTGGCTGGAGTCGTCTGGGAGATAGGCTTTTTAGACGCACCCCTCACTTAGTAACATGCATGTGAGGGTCCTCGTCTTCCTGGCCTAAGAACTCACTCTTCTATGGTCTGGGTGCATCACAGTTTACACATAAACCGACCAGACTTGACTCGAGGGCAGAGCCATGGCTGGGCCGGCGAGCCCCCACCCCCACCCCGGGCGGGCAGGGGCCTGGTGCTCCATGCCTGCCCGCCCGCCCGGAGCCCTGGGCTCCCATGGTCCCGAGCAAGCAGGAGGCAACTCCAGGCAGAGGCGTGAGCAACCCTGACGGGGTCCACCAGTGTGGGCACCACCTCGTGCTGGACCCTTCCCTGCTGTCCCAATTCCAAGGCAACTCAGAGGATCCTGCCCTGCACAGCAGTGCCAGGAATGTGGGTCTGCTCGGCTTTGTGCTCACATGGTGGAGAACTGCTCTCGGGTTGTGAGGCATTCGTTAGCCGCCCCCCTCCCCGCCAACCTTAGTTGCTTTTCCAGGCTTTGGACCACTTGGGACCCTCTCCAGGCTCTAAACCTGCCTGGGCCTGTGGGGACTGGTTTCCACCTACCAATTTCTCTCCCCAAAACCCGAAGCCTGGCTTTGACGAATGCCAACAAGAAGCAAACTGTCCTGTCGCTTAAGAGAGTAAGTGAAGGAAGTTTGCGCCACCAGAGCAGATGTAAAGGGTTCGGCTCCTGGAAAGTGGAATTTGAACCGGGGCTCTCAAAGTGCCCTTGTCCGCAGTGCACTTGGCAGGGGTCCTACTTCAGGGTGACCACTGGCTAACTGGACCCGGCTCGGCAGCAAGTTGGAATCCCGGCCCAGGGCACCAGTGTCTCCATGGCACGCAGAGGGGCTCAGGGCTCAAGTGTGGATGGCTCCCAGCAGCCATGTGGGTGGGCCCTGAGCCGGCTCTGGGGTCTGCTGCCTAGGTGGGTAATGGTAGACAGTGGGTGGCATAGGAGTGCAGGGCAGCCCGAACTGGATCTTGTCAGCCTGCAGCTCTGGACGTTATTCCAGAAGACCGGCCCACACACTAGCCTTCCGTCCCCCAAAGGCCCTGGGAGCCCCGGGTCCAGGCACATCTCTGGGGTAGCGCTGTGGCTCTCCGAGGCCCGGTCTGCTGCCAGCTCTGCAGAGCAGAGAGGACAAACGGACAGCTGGTCCAGCTTCCTCCCAGGCTGTGTGGGGTCTCAGGCACGGGGGCTGCAGGGCACAGTCTCACGGCAGGAGCTTGGATCTCAGGGAGCACTGCGCTGTGCTGGGGGGCCGGTCACTGTGGGGAACAGTGCAGTGTGTGGGGGTTTATGCGTTGTCCTGACAGGGGCCACGCTTCTGTCTCTGCACCCAACACCCCGAGGGACGTCTCTGGATGTTTGTTTCCGTTCATTCCTTCAGGAGAGAGTTGAGGATGTGAACATGCTCCTTTCCTCCTACACTCCGTTTACACAGCTGTTCCGGAGGGTTCTGCAAGGCCACAGGTCCGTTGTCTACTTAGAGAGGTGCACGTGAGAATTAATAGGCAGGCTGAACTGCCCAGTCCTAGACGCCCCTGCCTTCTGACGTCAAGCCTTGAGGCTAAGGGGGAGACCCTGGCAGGGGCAGTGGTCGGGTTCTGCAAGCGCTGGGACCAGACACCCATCCTAGCATGGGAGCAGGTGCTCACTAGGCAAGTGGCTCCCGGTCGGTGCAGAGACTGGTCTTATATCCCAGACCAGATTCACCTCCACCTCCTGCCATGTCCTGCTCCTTCCACCCTCTGTGACTTTGGCCAGAGTCAGGAAAAGGTCACAGTGAGGGCCATCACCATGGCGACAGGCACAGAGAGCTGCCTCCCCCAGTCCCCGAGCCACATGCCCAGAGTTGGAGTCCTGGGATAAATGCCCGGGGCTCCTGGCCACAGAAAGTTGCCCATGAGCACGTGTCCTCTGTGAGAGCACGGGCGCTGAGAACCCAGCTTGAGAGTTCCAGAAACCCATCCCCTTCCTTTATGGGGGGTGTTGCATCACCCAGGACATCTGCTCGGCATCTCCTGGGCCCAGGATTCCACCCTCACAGCTCCGCTTCCTGCCTGCTTACCGCTAGCCCTGGTCTCCAGCAGCCTGCTCCGCGCCCACCCACAGGCGCACTTTAGGCCCCACGGCCGATGTGAACAGATGGACCAAGGGTCTGGTCCTCTTTGGCAGAGGCTGCAGCCATGCCAGGAAAGAACAAGACAGACAGGATCCCTCAGCACATGGGGGGCCATGCACTCAATACCAAATTCCATTTTTCTTATTAAAAACAACCATCCAGATGGATGGGGGGGGGACACAGCCAGTGTGTGCCTGATGAGGGCTCTGCACCCCCAGGGCTCCATCCCTCAAACTGTGCTCTGTGGAACCCTAGTTCCCTGGGTCGAGGCCCCGCCATGTGAATGTGACAAAGTGGGGGGGGCAGGAAACAGGTTTGTGCCAGGGCCCCCCCAGACCCACCAAGGGAGAGCTGGGCAGGCCAGAGGCATCTAGGGCCTGTGGGCAGCCTTTCACCACATGCTCCTATGCCCTCACCCACATAAAACTGTCAGACCTCGAGAATCCTGTTGTGCCAGAACATTCTGGGTAACGGACTTGTGGACCAGGCATCAGGGGCCTCGGCCCACCCCAGGCCTCTTCCTGCCACATCCAGGAGGACAGAGCCTCCCTCAGGAAGAAGGCCTGTGCCTCCTGCAGCATCCGGCAAGGCTTCGGGGTTGGGGCCCCTCTGTCTGGTGATCACAGTCAAGGGGGAACAGGGGAAGCCAGCTGTTTTTTTCAAAGGCTGGAGAAGCTCCCCCCGCCTTAGGGAAGCATGGAGCCCCGGAGCAGACTCTACAACAAAACGGGGGTGCCCTGCCCAGGCGTGGCCACCAAACCCCAGTCCACTATGAGTGGTGGGCCACTGAGGGTGGCCTGGGCCATCTGCCCCTCCAGGAAGGCTCAGGTTAAGGTCCCACACCGAAGCCCTTGGGAGCCAGGGTGCTGCTGAGGGAGTGGCCAGTGGGGGCTCCTGATGGCGCTTTTTCCTGGTATGCTTTTGTTGTAAGTGGAGGAGAACAGGGATTTGTGCCTTGCACCCATACCACGGTACAGGGTTGTCCCTTACACAATGATCCTTTAAGGAAACTGAAAAGATGTTCAAAAGTTACGCACAGATTCGGCATTCCTGACTCAGTGTCCCTGTGTACAGACTGGGGCCTCCCCGGAGACTGTGCGGCATTTGGAGAGGCCGCCAGCGGGCGTCTTTACCTCAACCAGCACCCCTCAGGGTGTTTTTGCCACCGTGGTGTCGGAGCCTGACGGTGTTCTTCTTTCAGCAAAGCTGTGCCTTCAGTCTGTGCAGGGGTCCCCCTGCCGCGCTCACCCTTGCTCGCCATGTGACTCTGCCCCTCCACCCACCCAGAAGATTCTTCTTTCTCACTGGTGTTCAGCGATCTGGGTCACGTGTGGTTTCATAGGCTTCTCTGATCTGTGCGTTTATCGTTTTTGTCAAATTAGAATTTTTGGACATTATTTCTCGGTGTTTTTTCTGCCACCCTCCCTTGCTGGGACGTGGCACACAGTGTGTCAGGCGCCGTGTCCCACTTCACTCTGTGCTTCGGTTCAGAAAGCGCCCGCACCTCCGCCGACTCTCCTGTCCCTGCATCCACTCGTCGCTCCAGTTCTTACGTGCCCTTTTCAGCTCTCAATGTGCGTGTGGTTCTTTTTCACAGTTTTCATTTTTCTCTTGTTTGTGATGACGTCTTCTTGTAAATCCCTTACTTTATTCATAGTAGCTGTTTTGACATTCTTATCTACTAGTTTCAGATTTTCTCCCGCCTCTGATTCTGTTCTCGTGAGCCTTTCTCTGTCCCAGCTGTGGTTCACATGTCTGCAGATCCTGACGGGCCACCAGCCGCCGTGGGCTGTTGGTGAGGGTGTGGACACTGTGTCCTTCTCGGTGCTGAATTCTTCCCTGCCAAGCAGCTCACCTACTCACGAGTCCATCTCATCGTGCCGGGGTAGGTCTGACTCAGGCCTGAGCCTCGCGGGGTCTCTGCTGTGTGCCTGGCCTTCCCCTAGGTCTCCACCCACATCCTGTGGGGGCTTCCATGTGCCTATGACTCCGTGGCTGGCAGACTCAAGGGCACCCGGGCCATCCCTGCAACTACTGGTCTGTGTGCTTCCTTCCTGGCACAGTGCCAACCAGCCACCTTGACCTCCCCAGCATCAAGCTCTGCCCTCCGAGGGTTCCTTCCCTGGGCCGAGGTCCACTAAATGCCTCCGGGGAGAGCAGAGCCTGGCATGGGTCTGTGTGGCCACCCAGGGTCCAGCGTTGCCTGCTCTGTCCCCCGTCCAGCTACAGCACTGCTACCTCCAGGCCCTTTAGCCTTGAGAAGCCAGTCACCCCGGATGCAAAGTCAGAGTGTTCCTGGGGCCCCTGATGATGAGGCAGGACGGTCATGGCCTTGGGCCACAGAGGCTGGCCCCACTTTTCAGGGATGAAGGGTCACGGTCAGTGGTGGCACTCCAGCTACCGAGGGCTCTGCGTGAGTCGAGAAACTCCCAAGTTCATCCCTGCTGGGCTCTACGTGGTGTAAGTGGAAGGAAGGATGTGCCTGAATGTGTGATCAGATTATTCCCGGGAAGCAGACAGGATGGAGATGCTGGAGGAAATGGAAGGGGCACCTTGGACAGGGTCTCTAGGGCTCTCCTCTGACCCTGTCCTCCCTGTTGGGTGTTTGCAGATGGAACTTGGGGAGGCCCAGTGTGTGGGCGGACAGTGGGCCACGTGGTTCCGCCTAGTTCTCAGGGGGGAGCCAGACCCCGTGGCTGGGCCCTCCTTCTCCATATGGTAGCTGCTGTGCAAAAACCATGTGACCACCCTGCTCCCACAGCCTGACTTTGTTCCAAAGAGGTGAGTGGGCGACCCCCCATCTGGGCAGCCCCAGAACATGACAAAAATGCCTCACGTGCCGTGCCTTCCACTCTCAGACTGGAGGCATGGCACTCCACGGACCACTTTCCCCGAGTTTTCCATCTTTCAGTTGAAATGCTTACACCATCTTAACTTCTAATTTATCCTGGGACATGAGAGACCGCCAGAGCCTGCACATCGCTCCACTGGGGTGTCCTGGACCCCCTTGGGGAGCTTCTGTAAGGTCTACCAGGAAGCCCTTGGCGCTGCTCAATCTGTCTGTCCTCCCTCAAGAGTTTCTCAAACCCATCTTCTGAAGATTCCCATCTGCTTTTCGCCTGGTACTCTTATGGCTGTGCTTCCTGACACAGGAGCGCCCTTTCAGATTAGCGGTTTTGGGCCTGGGTTTCTGTGGGGTCTCAGTGAGGCCGTGAGGGGCCGGGGGCGAGACTGTGTCTCCGTATGTGCGCAGGCTGGGCTCGTTGCACCTGCAGAGGTTGGCCCACGGCCACGCCGCTGCTGGGTTTTTCACTGGTAACAGTGGCCGTGTCTCCGGGAGGTACGAGGCTCGGAGCGAGGGTGCAGGGCTAGAGGTGGGTGCCGGTGGTCAGCAGTGCGAGAGGGGCTCTGAGGGTCAGGTATGAGGGTTCCCCACGTGCCTGGCGCCCCACCCAGCACGAGAACAGAGTTTGGGAACGCGCCCCACTAGGGCTGTGGGGGAAGGAGGCAGGGTCACTGTCTCAGTTGCAATCGGGCGTACAGAGCAGTGGAGGGAGCTTCTGCCACCAACCCACCCCACCCCCCCCACAGCCCCAGAGAGCTGCACCAAGACCGCCAGTCCCTCAGTGTCCTGAAAGGGGTCCAGATAGAACAGACCACCAACCGACACCACACAAAACATGAAAACTTTCATGAGAAGGTGCACAGAGCTGCCAGACGGCCAAGACTCCCGAGAGGAGAAGGCATAGCCGAGCTTCAGGGACACTTGCTGACACAGCTGGGAGAGAATGGGGAGCTGAGCGGAGTGTCAGGGTCCTGCTGGCCTGGGGAGGTCAGGCCCCCCCCCCCCCAGGGAAGGAGGCACAGGGATGCAGCGCTCAGCAGACTCCGGGGAGGAGCCCAGCGTGCCCAGAGCAGCCCGCCAGCTGGGACCACAGCTGTGGGAGAGACTGCAGCCCAGGGGCTGTTAACGTCGCAGACAGTGAAGAATGAGAAATCATTATTTGGGGGCTCAGAACCAAGAACACCAGTTTTCCAAATTAATCCTGGGAGAGCCATGAATCCACACATCTCATGTCACACCTCGTAAAAAGCCGTCGTAATCCATAAAACTGACACGACCCATCGAAAGCACGGCTCCTCCTGCCAGACCCTCATTAGGTTGGCGTCTGTGACCTCACATTCCTCCCCGATTGCCAGGATCGGGACCCGGCTGTAATGAAAATACAGGAGTTATGGGGCTGGGCATCAACCTGCTGCAGAGAAGAGCTGAGGCAGACTGGCTCCTGGCATCTACGGGCCGTCTGGGGAGGACGAGTGGGACCCCAGACACCGGGAGGTCTGACCTCAACACCCCACGCTGGGCCATCCCACGGCGAGGCCGTGTCACCACACCTGTCCGGTCACCTGCGCAAGGAAATGGCCTGCTCTGCTTGGTGGACAGCCGTGGGCTTGTGAAGTTCGTACTTGTTGCAGAAATACGACCGTTTGGTCATGTGTGCGGACAAACTCTGGCTTTTTTCCTCTCACCTCTGGGGTGATTTTGCAGCGTTCTGGTTTCATCTTTTTCTCAAAGTCCCTCCGGAAGCAGGTCCATCTGGCCACTGCCCAGCTCACCGGGTCCCACGCCCATCTTCGCTTCTCCGTGGGGCCCTGCAGCAGCTTGTGAACGCCGTAACGGCCTCCACCCCTGCCTCGTCCTGGGGTCCCCCTCCCTTCCTGGCACGAGCAGAGGGCTGGCTGCCCCACACCAAGTCCTGGTGAGGAAGAGCCCTCAGCCTCCCACCACACGCAAGAAGCTAATTCACAGCTAAATGTCACCGCTGGACCTGCAACATCTGGTATGTATATCCTCATCCCAACCTTTCTCAGGACACACAGCAAGTTGTGAAGCTTTCAGAAATTGGGAACTTGTAACTCTGTGAATTAAGCCCTCCCCTTCTAAAGATGCCACCGTGTCACAAAAGCAGCTGCCTTAGAAGGACGGTGGCTTTGGTGCCTCCAACAGGCCCCGTCCCGTCCCACCCCGCAGGCGCACCAGGCAAACTCCGTCCAGGTGCAGGGCCGCGCGCCCCAGCTCCACACACACGTGCCGCTGGGCGGGTCTCAGACCCGAGCCGGGACACCACGGACGCCGGGGCTTGGTGCCCACCAAGTTCAGGAACAGGCAGAGTGACAGGCGACAGAGGTCAGTTCACAGGTCGTAGGGTGGGGGTCAGGGACTGTCTGGGGTGTAAACTTCTGGATTTTACGGTGATTTACATGAGAGTCGACATCTGTCAAAAGCCTTTGAGCTGTATGCTTAAGATGGGTACGTTTTATCACATGTTTCAACGAACTTGGCTTAAAAAGTAAGAATGCGGATCTGCCAGGAATGTGTGGTCCGGGATGCTTCCTTGCTGCCTGTTCCTGACGGGTTCCCGAGTCCATGCTGCTCTGGGGGCGTCTGTTCATGCCCGGGGAGCCGCACCCCAGGGCATCAGGGCCTGCTCGGAGACCTCCCGCACAGGAGGCCCCCCATCGGGCGCATTTGGGCTGCGAGCCATGCTGCCCGTGGTCCCTGAGGGCCGGCTGGATTCGGAGAGCCTGCTGCCCGTGGGCAGGGCATGGGCGCAGCAGCCTCCCCTCCTCACCCTCCAGTGCCCAATGACAGGGTCATCATAAGCGGGCCAAAGATGTTATTTCTAAGTCACTAAAACAATGTACAAAATGTGCAGCTGCTAGAAGGAACCTTCTAGAAGTCCCAGCTGAGAGGCAGCTCCAGGCTGCAGGCCTCCGACGGCCAGCAGCTCGCTGGGAAACGGGCTGGGGGTGCAGGGAACACCCAGGGTGTCGGTACTCAATCCACCCGGAGACTCTGTGACCTTCGTTCTTAAGACCAAGATGCTTAAAGTCGTTTTTAAGGTGAGCCTTATGGGAAAACTGCCACCGTGTAGTTAGTACCAAGTCTGTAGATGAGCCCAGCGGGACTGGGACACAGGGCAGGCCCATTTGGACCTCCTAGACCTTGTGTCACCCCAGACACTGCAGCAGAGCCAGCCGGGGCTGCTCGAGGCCTCTGAGGAGGGACAGCGGCCAGCTCCGTCTTACGGAGCCTAGAAAGTGCAGGAGGTCAGACTCCACGAAGCCACGCCTAACCCAGCAGATGCCCAGGCCGGCCTCATGCATGGTCACTGTGGACGTGTCTGGGAGGCTGCTAGATGTGCAGGTCAGGGCAACCAGACAGGTACCCCCTCACCCCTAACTTCCAGGTGAGCAGCAAGAGCCTTGTCCACCTCCCACATGACTCGGGCACAGGTCCCCGGGGGCTGCCCCAGACCCGTACCCACTGACAGTCACCAGAGCGCTTGCCCCAAACACAGACTACAGCATCAAACTGCACAAAGCAGCCAGCTCCCAGTTCTGTGAGTAGGAATCAGGCAGCCTCAGAGGCCAGAACAGAGGTGTCTGCAGGCTGGGTCCCGCTCAGGGCTCTAGCAAGAACCCGCCTCGGAGATCAGCTGAGGCATGGACACGTGTGGGCCCGGTGGTCAGAGAGACGGGCATGCGGCCGGTGGGGAGACAGGGGCCCGGCCCTCAGGCACCTCAAGAATCGGCACGAGCACCCTGTCTGCTTCTCAAAAGGCTAGCCCTCCAGGCGTCGCTGCCCCCCACACCAGCACTGCGGCCACCACGCCCTGCACAGAGTCTGCCGCGGGTGTGGTCCTCGGCAAGCTCCCCAGGCCCGGGCTCAGGCACTGCCCTGTACCTTCCAGGTGGTCCTCATCATCAGCGGGAACCTGAGCTTCCTGAACTGGCTGACCATGGTGCCCAGCATGGCCTGCTTCGATGACGCCACTTTGGGGTTCTTGTTTCCCTCCGGGCCCGGTGGCCTTAAGGACCAAGTCCTGAAGCTGCAGGAGGAGGCTGCCCGAGGGGCCCGCCCCCCTCTGCGATACGGTGAGTGGACAGCCGGCCCACTAGACAGTTTCCACATCAGCCTCACAAAGAGTCCCAGCTTGGGAGTAAGGGGCTGGCGAGGGTCCAGGCCCAAGAGCAGAGCTCACCCCACCGTCCCCCTCTCTGCCCCCCACCAGGCTGCATGGTGCGGCGGGCAGTGCACGTGGCACTGGGCATCCTGGTGGCCTGGCTCAGTGTCCCCGTGGTCATCAACCTGCTGAGTCCCACGCAGGTCATGAACACCTCCTTCAACCCTCTCAGGATCGTCAACACGTACGGCGCCTTCGGGAGGTACGGGTACAGCCGCTCCTCGCCCCGTCCACTGCGTGCACACGTGGGACCCAGGGCCCTGAGGGAGCACCCATTGACCCTCCAGGGGGCAGCCCCTCACCCTGGTCAGCTCCAGAAGGAAGCCAGGGTGCAGAGGCATAGCAGCTGCCTTCGTGCGCCCAGAGACCCCGCCTCGGTCTCCCCGCAGCATCACCAAGGAGCGCACGGAGGTCATCCTGCAGGGCACAGCTAGCCCCAATGCCAGCATGCCGGACGCCGTGTGGGAGGACTACGAGTTCAAGTGCAAGCCGGGTGACCCAGGGCGGCGGCCATGCCTCATCTCCCCCTACCACCACCGCCTGGACTGGCTCATGTGGTTTGCCGCCTTCCAGGTAAGGGCCTCCCCTCCCCTCCTGGGTGTGTTCCTGAGGCTGTGGCCACCTCGGTGGGGACACCCAAAGTGGCTGGTGGGGGTGAGGTCACTCCTTCATGTGACACCCTCCCCGGGCCTCGCTGACATGGGACAGGGGCATCTTCGCCCCTCCAGCACTGCACCCTGGGGCAGCGGGCCAGGCACACAACGTGTGGCACCCAGGACACAATCCCAGCCCCTTGGGCCACATCTTCCTCCTGGGTCTTTCCCTTGGTGTTCTCTGTGCGCATAGGCTTTGCGTCTGGACAGCCCAGGTGGGGGTCTCCACACTGCCTGGACACCCTCACACAAGGGTCTGTGGGTGCAGGGGGCCAGGGCATCCCCACCAGCGATGACAAGACAGGCCTGGTAGGGCTGCCCCTGCCTGTGAAGACCGTCACTCATGTGAGACCCCAGGGCTGGCAGGCGCCACCACTGAGAGCCCTGGTGGGGGGCAGAGAGGGGGACGGTGGGGTGAGCTCTGCTCTTGGGCCTGGACCCTCGCCAGCACCTTACTCCCAAGCCGGGACTCTTTGTGAGGCTGATGTGGAAACTGTCTAGTGGGCCGGCTGTCCACTCACCATATCACAGAGGGGGCCACTCCCCAAGAACAGGACCGCGCTGCGCCAGCCCACCCCACAGAGGACCCGTCTACACACACCTGCCCAATGAGCCAGAGCAGGGAGGGAATGTGGGCCCACCAGGCAGGAGAGCCTAACCCCCCACCACGCAGGAGGGTAACCAGGCAGGGAGCCAAGGGTTCCCTGCGTCCCTGGTTCTGTGCCTGGAGCCAGCACCCCCTCCCTTTCCCACCCCTAGACCTACGAGCACAACGAGTGGATCATCCACCTGGCAGGCAGGCTCCTGGCCAACGACGCCACGGCTGTGTCCCTACTGGCCCTCAACCCTTTCGAGGACAGGGCACCCCCCAGGTAGGACTCCCCTCCTGAATGGGACCCCTGTCGACCGCAGCCTCTCAGGGGTCCTCCTACAGATGGACCCCCGGCCATGCTCGGGACCCCAGAAAACGTGCCTGGGTGTAAAGGTCCCCAGGCTCTGGGCCAGCCCCTTTGTTGCGCACTGCTGGCCTGCTCAAGGGGTGGGGGCCTCCAGAAGGCAAGGCGAGCCCCTCAATGCCAACGGGCTCCAGAGCTGCGTATTTGGCCCTCTTCCAGATGTCCCCATGGCAGGGCCTGGTGGTCTGTCCCTCCAAGGAGTGGCAGCTCGGCAGGCAGAGGGACAGGCCACCCGACGTGGGGTCTCCCCTTGCAGGTGGGTCCGGGGCGAGCACTACAGGTACAAGTTCAGCCGCCCTGGGGGCCAGCACGCTGCTGCAGGCAAGTGGTGGGTCCGCAAGAGGATCGGCCCCTACTTCCCCCCACTCAGCCTCCGCGACCTAGAGGACTACTTCCGGTCACGGGAGTGGCCATACCCAGAACTGGAGTAGAAGCGGCCCCAGGTCTGTGCACAGAGGAATAAAGTAGGAAGGCCCCGTCGCTGGAGTGAAGTGTCGTGTGCTCGGGCACCCCTGCCCTGCACCCAGACCTCCTGGAAAGCAGGCTGAGAGGGGGGGGTCCCTGGGCCGGCATGTTCATCACAGAGAGCCCCATGAAGCTCCTGACCCCGTGGTGTCCACCAGCCCCCAGAGCACAGGGGAGGGCTGGTCCCCAGTCAGGCCCCTGTACCCGGGCAGCTGAACCCAATCACACGCTTGGTGTGGTCACAAGGAAGCTGCCACTCCCTACCTGTGCTCTTAGCCCACCATGGCCGTCCCCCCACATCCAGGAGAGGGCTGGGAAAGGGAGAAGCCACGGCTCCCGGTCCTCCTCAGAACCTTCGTGCCTCCCCAGGTCCAGCGTCCAGAGGCATGGACAGAAGCCCTTTGTTGTTCCTCGGGCGGGCCAGTCCTCCCCCCACTGCCCCACCCTCCCTGACCTGCAGGCCTGGGCCCTGGGAGTGCCCACAGCAGCAGTTCTGACTAGATGATTCTTTGCCTGGCGATCCTTCTGGGGCCCTCTGCCATTTGAAGTGGGGTGTGGCCCCAATTCTTTACTGCCTGATGTGAGCTGTGAGCAAACCGAAGTCCCACCCGAGGGGCGGTATCCCTGCTGAACCACCAGCCAAGCACCGGGTGGCACAAGCCCCTGCCCCGGTCACTGGGCAGGCCACCCCTCCTCCCCCGCAACTGTCCAGCAGGCCTGGCTGCACCAGAGAGGATCCCGGCACGAACGAGGTGGTTCAGGCAGGAGGCCCGGCCGAGGTGGGCACAAGCACGGGTCTGTGTGGAGCGCCCGCCCCCAACAGCCCGCCTGGGGGGCCAACCAGTCCAGGTGCCAACAGAGAGGCCGTGTTCCTGCTCGCAGGGAAACAGGCTCCCTGTGTCTGTCTCAGAACAGACTCGGCCTCAGACGAGGAGCCTGGAGCCAGCAAGTCTGCCCGCGGCAGCCGCATGGAGCTGACCACCGGCCCGCCGTGGCCTGGGCAGCCCTTCCCGGGGGGCTGTCCCAGGAGCTCTGCCGCTGGGTGGGGGCACCAGAGTGGGCAGGGGGCCTGGGCTTGGGTGGCCACCCCTTCTTGCTGCACTCTGGGCTCACTGCCACCCAGGGACTCAGAACCCCTGCCCGGGGGCTCCTCTCTGGGCCTCAGTCCAGCTCTGCACCCACCCCCCCGGGCTCCCAGGAACCCCTAAGAGACACACAATGCTTAGGCCTTGGGGGCATACCCGTCCTGGGACAAGACAAACATCTGCTCACCTTGGGGACCACTGCAGGGGACTCCAGGTCCAGGCACTGGGGCCTCTGACGAAAGGGACCCCATCAGATCTCCTCCCCCAGCCTCCACCCTTCCAGAGGCTAAGGGCCCCCCAGCCTCCATCCATGAGTCAGCAGACAGAGCCGAGCCGGAGGCCCACAACCTCCTGAGAGACCGCATCCCTCCTCCACTCACAATCCTCCCGTGGCTACCCCACCTCACTGAGCACAAGCCTGGGGTCAGCATGTCACCCCACCGGCCTACCAGGCCACAGGGCCTTTGCTGTGGCAGCTCCCGTGCCAGCACCCACACAGCCCACACCCCTCCAGGGCCCAAGCTGCTCGTGGTCACACACCAGGCTGGTGGGGGCCCGACCTGGATAAACCGTCCACCTCACGAAGGAGAAAGGCCCAAACTCTGTTTGCGTCTGCTCTGCCCGACACTGCCCTCTCTCGGAATCTGCTGTTTCTTGGTCAACACAAGAGAAACTTCAGGAGATGGGGGCTCAGGGACATGGGATGTGAGCCCACCCTTCCTCCCCAGCCATCCAGGTCTGAGGAACCCCCGGACAGCTGTGTCCAGGTGGACTGAGTGCATTCTTTCCTCCCAGCTGGTAAGAAACAGACGTGGCAGAAGCCAAGGGCGTCAGGCTTAGGTCAACGTGCCAGAGATGCTGCCCTCACCCTCCAAAACCCAAGGGGCGGAGGAAAGCGCCAAGGTTCAAGGGAGGGGCCAGGAACAGCAGCCCACACCACATGTGAGGCAGGGTGTGCACAAGCCTTCGCCCAACTGTGGGGCATAGACATCTGCTTACTTGCTGAGAGGGTCCTCAGATCGGAGACCCCCCGGGGGCATCAAGTTCCTGGTGTGGCCCTCTCTTCCCCTGGGTCTCCTGCATCTGCACTGGGACGGTCCTATGCCCTGCGGTCCCAGGCCACTGGGGGCTGGCTGCACAGGGTCCGCACACCTCAGGCCCAGGGGCTCTGCAGGAGGATGGACACGTGGTGAATCCAAGAATGTTACAGATGACTAAAACTGGCCCAGGTGGGGCCTGGGGAACCTGAGCAGTTCTTACTCATAACTGTTCCGCTCAGTTTCTTTTGCGATGATTCACACTGTTCACCATATGTCCCTGTAACTTCCATAACTCTCCCCCTCTCTGGGGTGATGGCCCTTCTCCATTCCTGATGCATACTTTGGGCTTTCCTTTCTTATCTCCTTGTCAGTCTCAAAGCCCCGACACTGGGTTTTCCCGTCAGCTCTCCTGTTCACTAGCTCCTTCCTCCATAGTCCAGGCGTTCACTCTTTGCCGTCTTGGACTGAAAACTTCCATTTCTTTCTATTCCTCCTTCTCATCTCTAGGAAATGCGGCTAAAGACCCCCAGCTGCACCTGCAGCCTCTGCTGGACGCTGTGAACCTGCTCTGAATTCTAGAAATGTTGATTTCCTGGTTAACTCATCAAAAAAAATAGAGGTGGGGATTTTAATTTCCAGAGGAATGGATTTGCGGCTTTTATCTTTAATTTTATCCCATGCATTTGTCACCCCCAAGCACCCCTCAGCCCCAAGCCCCCAGCACCCTTATGATTAACATCCCTTTTAGAAGTGAGCAGGCTCCTGGGAAGGACAGCCTCTCAAGTCCTGAGGCAGCTGTTTGCCTCCATCTGCCGAGAAGGTCCCCTGCTCAGCAGCACAACAACAACCTGTTCCCTGGGTCCATTCCCCACGTTGACCTCTCTGCCCTGTATCCACACAGTACAAAGATGCCATCATCCTCAGGAATGCAGTTTCAAAGCCACTGAGTAAAGTGGGACTGACCTATCAGCAAATAGACCATTAAACTCCTAAAGTAATCAATGAAATTAACAAGACTTTAGCTTGACTGACAGAGAAAGAAGATGCAAGTAACTAAAATCAAAATAAAGCAGAGACATTACTACTGACCTTATGGAAGTAAAAAGGATTACAAGAGTGCTATGAGCAACAGTACGCCAAAAAATTAGATCACATCATTGAACTGACAAAATCCTAGAAACACACAAACTACCAAAAGTGACTGAGGAAGAAACAAAGTTGTAAAAGATCTACAACAAGTAAAGAGACTGCATCAATAATCAAAAACCTCCCAATAAAGAAAAATACTGGACAAGATGGCTTCATTGCTGAATTCTACCAAGAATTTTAGAAGAATTAACACCAATCCTTCCCAAACTCTTCAAAAAAATTAGAAAAGGGAAAACTTCCTAACTCATGAGGCCAATTTTACACTGATAAAGTCAAAGACACCAATATCCCTTACGATTTTTGCATCTGTAGGCAAAAATCCTCAACAAAATACTAGCAAAATAACAGCATGATAAGAGGATTATATGCCATGACCAAATGGCATTGCTTAAGAAAATCAATCACTGCAGTACATCACATCAACAGAATGCGGGGGGTAGCGGTGAACAGCACACAGTCTTCTCAACTGATGCAGGAAAAGCATTCGACAAAATCCAACACCCTTTCATGAGAAAAGCCCCTCAGGAAACTTCCTCAACATAATAAACAGTAGTTAGCAAAAACCCAGGGTCAATAGTGAAAGAGTAAAAACTTTCTCCCGAAGATCAAACTGAGACAAGAATGCCCATTGTCATCAATGCCACTTAACACCATACTGAAGTTCCAGCCAAAGCAATTAGTCAAAAAAACAAAAAGCTTTAAAGTAAAAAGAAAGAAGTAAAACCACCTCTATTCACAGATGACATGATCCTATACATAGAAAATTCCAATGATCCACCAAAAGAAAAAACACCCACTAGAGCTAATAAACTAACTCAGCAAAGTTACAGGGAAAAGAATCAACACCAACAAATCAGATATGCTTCTATACACCAGCAATGAGCAATCTAAAACAGAAACTAAGGAAATAATTTCATTCACAATTGCATTCAAAAAAATACCTACCAAAAAACAACCAAGGAGGCAAAAGACTTGTACACTCAAAAACTACATAACACTGCTGGAAAAAAATGCTAAAGAAGACCTAAATCAGTGGAAAGACACCCACATCTGTAAACACGTGACAATAGTGTTAAGATGACAGTACTACCCAAAGCAGTCTACAAAGCCAGTGAAATCTCTACTGAAATTCCAATGGCCTTTTTTTTCGTAGAAATGGAAAAGCCAACGCTCAAATTCACATGGAATTGCAAAGGGCCCCAAATAACAAAAACAATCTTTAGGAAGAAGTTGGAGGATTCACATTTCCTGATTTGAAAACTTACTACAAAGCTTTAGTCATCAAAACAGTGTGGTCTTGGCATAACAAAAGACACGTGGACGAGAGAAATAGAATGGAAACCTAATAAACCCTCACACATATGGTCAAATTATTTTTGACAAAGATGCCAAGACAGGGGGGCGCCTGGGTGGCTCAGTTGGTTAAGCGACTGCCTTCGGCTCAGGTCATGATCCTGGAGTCCCGGGATCGAGTCC